GTATACCCTCCTTCCACTTTGCTCTCCCCAAAGTCACACTCTCATCCAACATAAGAAGTACCATATCATTCCTGACCACTCAAATAAACTTTTCCTTGGGTCGTCCTCACCCTCTCCTCCCCGTTTCTTCTCCCACCTCTCAATTCGTCTAACAAGTGCATCACTCAGTCTTCTACACACACTATCAGGTCACCGTAATCGAGTCTCTTATCTTCAATAGATGCTACTCCCATCTTTTGCATGATTGTCTCATTCATCGAGCGCTCTTTTCTAATATGTCCACACATCCAGCGCAACATGTGCATTTCAACCACACTCATATTTTGAATGTGACATTGTTTCACCACCCAAAACTCTACTGCATACGATAATGCAGGCCTGATTGTTCTCCAATAAAACTTACAATAATCAAAGAATATTCTTTCAGTTAAATGCAATATGCATGAATACCTTCTGCCTATCAAATACGGAGTATAAAAAAGGAAACATAAATTCTTACAATCTTACCCCTCTAGTCATGTTGAGATTAGTATAATTCCGGTGCCATATTTTACACTAAAACTTATTGGTTGCTTAATAAACTCAGTTCAATTGGAGCAATGTATATACTTCATTCCTTTGTTTCTAAAAATTAAGTTTCCAAAGTTTTCTTCTATCCCAGTAATGAAGAGAGTAATTATGATTTAATTTCATACAGCTTAAGAAGTTTTATTTCACTAAAGAAAATCAGATGTTACGTTCTGTGTCCTTCAATCTTTTCAAGGACTTCACAGGATGTGGGAGCCTTGTAGTATGGCCTGCCTCTTTTATCTGAAGGTTCCTAATGGTTAATGCTTAATTGTTACATTTGCTTTAGAGCCTGTTTGGGTAAAATGCGGCATTCATGCTTTAATCATAATTCATAAGTGCTATCTAATTTGAGAACTTAAAGTGCTTCTTTGAAAATGTACCAATCCTGCTGCTTTTTTCTCAACTAAGCATTAAAAACACCTTAAACTAAGAGCACCTTTTCTATTTTCCTGCCAAATACTCTTACTTTGTGGCTTGTTGTATGGCATGTTGCAGAGCTTCGTATTCATGAATAAACTTCTAATTGAGTTTTTTGCATTTTGTTTTTGTTTGACAAAATGAAACTAACTATCACAACACCCTAATGTGCTCTTTTTATTAGAGAACACTATCAAACATGCGAATCCCCACGTACATTGGCGAAGTAATATGCACTGCTGTTGATCTTGGTAATCTACCACCATATTTTCATGCAATGAGGGCTCTTCCTTCCAGCACGAATGAAGATTGGGTGATGGAAATTGACATTGAGTATTCTGGTGGTGCAATATTTGAAATTGAAACAAGGCTTGAAGTTCAAGATCTTGAATTAGAGGAAGGAGGCCCAGGCCTAGAATCAAGTTCTGTGGATGAGGTAAAAGCTGATTTGTTAGAGGGAATTGAACAGTACAGAGAAAACTTGAAATATTCTGAGGAGACAGCTGATGATGATGATCATAGAGATGAAGGAGATCTTAGAGCAGGTAGGTGCATTGGTATTTTTCTCTTCTTTCACATGGATCACACTCACTTTTTTAAAAAGAAAAAAAGGCAATTCACTCTATTTCACATGCATTAACTTGGTCATGATTTTTCTGCTATATTTTGTTTCTATAGAGGTTATTCCTCACTTATTAGTTATAGTTCAGGCCTTCACAAGGTTAATTGAGGTCCATCTATCATGTATTTTTTCAGATTCTATAAAACACTCCAGAAACACGACCGGTGCAGCATCTCAAAATTCTAGATGGAAGTCTATTGTGCAATCAATTGCCAAACAGGTCTCACAGGTTGTCAAGAGCAATTTTAATTTAGTTCATCATTACTTTTAAAAAGTTTCAGGTTATATTACCAATCCTAAGAACAGCCCTATGTATTTATTGTTATACTTCAATGTTTCCCTATTTAGGCAGTGTTTATGAGCTTGAAGTATCACTTATGGTTCCAATAATCTTCAAGACAGACTACTTCAATTTTTAAATAATCCAACTTCGTTGTTGTTTAATGTCTAACAGCTGAATGTTTAATTCTGAAGGTTCCACTTTCATTGGGGGTAAGGGTTGCATCACTCCGAGGATTGTTGCGCATATTCATAAAGCCACCACCTTCAGATCAAATGTGGTTTGGCTTCACTTCTATGCCAGACCTTGATTTTCAGATGGAGCCTTTTATTGGAGAGCATAGAATTGCAAGTGGACGTCTAGCCTTATTCCTAATCAGTCGGTTTAAGGTACTCACGTCTTGTCTAATAATCGATTTGTCCAATTTTATCTTTTAATTTCCCTTTTAGTCTATTCCAAAATATTGTCCACCTCTCTAATTTAGAGAGAAATGGACAATTTATCTTTTAATCTTCCTTTTATATTTATGATGTAGGTAGCCATTCGTGACACATTGGTTCTTCCCAACTGTGAAAGTATATGCCTGCCATGGATGTTAGCTGAAAAAGAGGACTGGGTCCCGCGTAAGTTAGCTCCATTCATATGGATTAGTCAAGAACCACGAAGCACTGATCATGCAGATGAAGCTACTCCCGAAACAGCAAGCAGAAGTCTAGAAGGAACCCATGAAGGACCACCTGAGAACACCATGTCATCTTGGGAAAAACCAAATGATTCTCTGGACACACAGTCTTCATCATCATCAGCTCCTCTAAAGATTGGCAATCCAGATAAAGAATTGCGGGTCCCACTATTGAGTTGTGAAGAACAGGTAGCAAGTCATCACAGCAAAAGCGCAGAGGAGGAGGTAGGACAGAACTATGTATGTGAAGAGGACGAGAAGAAGATGAGAAAACTGGGTAGTACAAAAGCAAGGATGATTGGTTTGAGCAAGAAGATGTCGGAGAAAATTGATGAGAAGAGGCGACATATTGAAGAGAAGGGAAGAAACATTGTTGAAAGGATGAGAGGAGGGCAACAACAGTGATGACCATGAAAATTTGATCCCCCCACTCCCTTAGAATATCTTTTACTTGTAAATGGAATTACTACAAGCTGGCCTGGACATCTCATATTCCATTCATTAACTGATTAGTGTAATTGTGTAAATCTGATTGTAGAAGTTGGTCCATGCTCCATTTGATTTGTACGGCAATGTCTTGCATATAATGATTTCCCACACACATACATAAACGATAAGGTATATACTGATTTTTTGCTCGCTGAACATTAACATATTTACTAAAACTCTACCAGGTTCTTACTCTAAACAATCACCCCATCCCTCCATTTTTAAGATCATTAAGTCAAGCTTAATTCCCTTCCCCCCCCCCCCCCCTAAGAGGCACTTAAGCGAATTTAACCTATCTTTGGTTGCTTTAATCAATTTTTGCCTATTTAAATAAATGTTTTTTGGTTAAAATATGACTTTACTTACAAGCAGGTGCGGATCTGGCCCATGGCCAGGGTGGGCCTAGGCCCATGCTCAAAAAATATAATTATTTGTATATATATACTATGTATATATTAATATATAATGTTTTAGTAGTTATGATATATAAAAAGCTAATGTTAATTTGTTAACATTAGTCAAGTTGGTCTAATGGAAGCACACTAATTATGCAACAAAAGGAGTTAGGTTCGAATCCCCTGGGCACCATATTTATAATTTTTCAATGCAACATGAGTAAATTTTTTAAATCACTGTCCAAATTGTTGGGCTTTTGGTAATTGGTCTGCAAAATATATATACTTCAAATCATTTGGCTTTTGAATATTAGCTTGAAAAATTAATTAATTCGATTCATTAGAATTTCGAATATTAGTCTAAAAAATTAATTAGTTCACATCATTGGACAATTGAATATTGATTTGAAAAGTTAATAAGTTCAATTCATTCTGCTTGGTCGGTGAAATTTAATTAGTTTACTTTTTTACATAGAGCATAGACTATGAAGTCAAAAGAAAATTGATTTTCGAGAAATCAATTTGAAAATTGGTATTGAACACGTCATTAACCGACACAAGCCAATTTCGGTTAGATATTTATGACTCTTTTAAGATAATTAAATTTTCGGTTTTGTAATATTTATTATTTTTTCTTTGACACTTCTGTAAAATTATATAACTAAATCTTGTAATTTTAACATTTTTTGCAAAATAAATTACGTATCGCTAATTAAAATTTGGCCCCACCTCAACGCAAATGCTAGATCCGCCCCTGCTTACAAGAGATCTCGTTTTTGGACCAACTAACCCACAATTAGTGTGGAGTATTAAACTCAAGTCTAGTAAAATTCACCAACTGAGCAACGTCCTGACTTGAGAGCAAGAAGCATGGACAGAAAAACGCTTGGTACATAATTAACATTTTAATTCAGCCGGTGTATTTTAGCTTAAACTAATGCCCGCTATTCTTCCAAACGAAACAACTCCTATAATAATGGAACGAACTGTTGAAATTTCAGTCTCTGAACTGTTCATGCCAAACATAACCTAGGGGCCGATTCATAAGATAAAAAATGACTGAATTTATTGAAACTACTCAATTAGTCAATTGTGGCTAAATGAGTAGAACTATAAAAAGCATATATTTACATAAATTATATTGATAGAAGAATGAAAAATATATATGGAAAATTATTTCAACGATATTATGCAAAAGTACATACAATCTTATGTAGTTTTATTTGCACATGCATAGGCATAAGTAAAAATTAATGTTTTCTCTTATTCGGTGATAAACAAAAAATGAATCCCGTAGTAAAAGATTGTTTTTTTTCGCAGAGAGTAAAACAATGCTTGGTAGTGTCTTTTTAGCCAAATTAGCATACTAAGAACTATCTATATTACCCACTCTTTTGATAACAACATAAACGAGGTATGACTACCAAACAACATCCAAGGTGTTTCAAATTTGTGAATAGAGTAACATAACAGAGTATTCTGAAACGATTGTGAATTGTGTGAAAAATATTCAACAAAATTTACTCGCAAAATTTACTAATATTAATTATACGGAGTATATTAGTTATATAGAGTAAAGGTAACAACACAATTTACTAGGAAAATAAAACAGGTAAAACTAACAAAAAGATGACGACTTGTTACAATGTTTTGACACTATATTACTCCGTAATTACTAATATTGGTATAGAAACATCCATTTTTCTTAATTACACAAGCAAACCTATTGGAGCCTTTCGGTTCTTGTGGTTTGAAGTTGGAGTAAGCACATACATTTTGCAATCATGTGTAGGAACACTAGCTGAAATTTGTCCTTTAACTGATTTCACCCTTGTATGCTGTCAATACATATGTTAAAAGGAACAAATAATTAGCAGATGATATAAATTAAACTGTAAACAGAACTTGCAAACAAATTAGTTCAATCATGAGGATTTGAAGGTTTATCACAAGAGTCACATTACAAAAACCTATATATAAACATGATATAACATTATTGATAATACTGGATTAGTTATTTTATTAATTTTTACTCCGTAGTAAGTAATAACATAGCATGTAGCCCGGATGCTCTCAACGGCCGTTCCTTGCTTGTCCTAACAATTCTTATGATCCAAACACACCTTATAATACTTTCGATTTCTTGCATTTTATATATGCCTTCTAAATTTAATTACTTTCTCATGTGCCATTTCAAATTTGGCACATAGCTTTTATTTTAGTGCCATTTCAAATTTGGCCCATAATTTATATATAAAAAAATCACTTTTGATTTTATGAGTTTCACTTTAATTTCACAATTAATCATGTCTTTAACTTTGATCGTTTTTTTTGTACATTACTATTGTTTTGGCCATATTACAATATATAGTCTTTCAATCGATATTCCTAATGATTAAAATCGCCGGAGAGACATCAGAAATTTGGACATAAGGACCACAATGGTCAAGGAAAATTAGTCAAATACTAAAAGTGGACAAAGGAAAAGACGTTGATTGAATGCGGAATTGAAACAAAACTCATAGGACCAAAAATGAAATTAATTCTAATAAAAAGTTAAATTGAGTGGTTAACTAATATGTTTGGCCTATTTAATCTCTAAATATGTGTCTATACATAGGGAAAGTGTCTAGAAAGTTGTTTTTTTTGGAATATTCTTCTAAACCTATTATAATATTTGTTCATGATAATGTTGACATCCTTGATCGGAATGAGTCTCGAACTTGCGACCTTCTCTTTGATTGGAGTGATATTCATTTAGAAACCATCAAACCACAAGATACTTGACATACAAACTTGTTAGAAAATAACCAATTGACTTTTTAATAAGCTATCAAGTCATTAATCCACACCTCATTCCAATTTCACGGCCATATTTGAAATATTTAACCTGCCCTTATATTTTTTTTTATAAAAATTAATTTCAAACACTAGGGTAAGAAATTCACATACTTCGTTTGCATTTTTTATTCAAATATTAGGAGAAAAAGTGAGGAGGATACCGCCCAGAGGTCACGTGCGTGGACGGTGTTGGATGAGTTGAGGCCAATATCCGACCAGTAAGCGGTAATGGTTGCCTCTGTTGATCCTCTATTCCACAGCACCACAGCCACTCTGTTCCCACTCAATGGCCCTGCCCAAACCTGCACTTCCTTATTTTCTTTTATTAGTTTCATGTTTTTCCTTTTGAAATTGTGGGAATTGTTAATGTCATAATGTGTCAAAACTCAAACATGAAATTTATTTTAAAATGGAGGTTTAACTGTTTAATATGTTCTTTTATCTCTACAATATAGTGCATTTAGTTGTACATCATTACATTTTTTTTGTGATTCGTGTTATTTCCCTTTTTATTCTTTATCATCATTGCAATAGCGGTAACCCTGTTTGCAGGGCAGTCTAATGAATTTCGAGATCCCGGTTCCAAATGGCAATTTAAGGCCCTCTAAAACAAGAAAAAATACAAAGTTTAGCAACGAAATACAAATAGCTGGACGGTTCAATGAAATATAAGTTTTATGATTTTTAAAGTACACAAATCAGAAAATATAAAAGTTATATATATACCTTTTAGAGTCTTGAATAATACATAACATCTAGAAAAAATCAACTTATAACTAATACTAAATTCTAAATTTTTGGAGTCCCCTATAAGAGTGGGCTCCGGTGCCAATGATCTATTCCACCTCCTAAAAGACAGCCACTCTTGTGGAGCCCCTACAAGAGTGGGTTCCAGTGCTTGTTTTTTAAAAGTTTCTAATAGATTTATGCAAACTATTTTTTTATAAATGGAGTGATAAATGTGTGAGATAGAAGTTGAATAAAGACAAAATAATGCATATTAATAAAGATCTAAAAAATGATTAAAAACGTATTTAAGTTCGTATTTAAGTCTAATGGAACAAATGTGGAGTGGGGGGCATCCTTCTGTCCCGTCTCCACCAGTTTTGATAAGTTTAAATTGTGGGTTTTGATGAGTACTCCATTTGAATAAAGCTAAGTAGCTGAATAAATAATTCAAATAAATACTCTGATACTACACCTTTATAAGTTTAGAACGTACAAACACATCCCTACTATTCATCAAAACGTATAATGGAGTTTATATTTATAGAAAGAAAGATTTTACCTCCAAATCTCCATCTTGTTTAACTTTTGTCCCCTGATGACCGAGTCCATCTGAGTTTGTTTCCACAATATTGTTCAGTTAGTAATTACTTCTACATACGACATTGAAATGCTGTTGATTGCTATGATGCTTTCATAAGTTGAACTACCTCCATTTCAAATTGATTTGCAAAGTCAATTTTTTTGGGTCAAACAGTTTCATGTTATTAACTTAATTAGTATATCAATTTTTAATTATATTCTAATTTCAAGTTTGCAACTTTATAGAGATTTTAATGTAGTTTTTGAATATGTAAATTTTGATTATTTAAAACTGAACTAAATATATATTAATAGTGGGGGTTTAACTTTAACATTGGTTGACAAAAAATGTTAACTTTGTAAATCAATTTGGGATGGAAGGAGTAGTGTATTTTGAATATATTGTCTTCCTAATATAGTATGGACAGAGCAATTCACTACTACTAGCATATATGTAATTAACTATCATTTAATTTGGTTTGCATATGTTATGCGTAATTTATTAAAAATATCTCATGTAAAAATAAACTTGTTATATTTTGAATTTAAATCATCTCCTTAATTAATTGTAGCATACTTTAATTTCCAATCCAAGCAAGCCCATAAGATATTTTAATGTGTACCAGAAGTCTAGCTTTCATTTTGGATATATATTATATATATTTGGAACTGTGGGTCTATATACATATATATATTATTTTCATGCAGACATACCTTGATTAACATCAATCACCTCTTTATTGCTAAGGATTTCGTAGGAGGAGTTGTCCAATGATCGGATATCGCAACCAATTACTAAAGGAGCCTGCAAATTAATCAAGTAACAATCAATTTGGCAGGCTTGTTGATAACAGTTTGACCTGAGGTAATGAAATGCTCGTTTAGAAAAATGTCATGGTATGGTGGGTGTAGCTCAATGGGTGACCATCCACCCCAAGCCTCTCTTAGTGAGAGGTCTTGGTTCAATTCCCACCTAGGGGAGATGAGGGAGGTCTTGCTCCTTGTGCAAATAGAGGTAACGAGTTCGTGTGGCGGGAGCGGCAGCCAGGAAGGGGCATGTGTTGTAAGTTCTGTTGGATTCGTCCTCTGGAGTCGGTATCGACGAAGTTGCTCGGCTATGATTAGATCCGGATTTACCTATCTAGGGGCTTTGGAGGATAGTTCATAGACTTCATGATTACGGGAGCGGAGCGTAAGCCCCGACACCTGATTTATAAAAAATGATGAAAATATTGCCAATATATGATGATGGATGTTTACTTTAGCCAATGCCCAAATGCTGAAATGCGAGCGATATTCCGAGTAAGTCATGCCGCCGTTTCCAACTTCCAAAATATCAGGATCTATAAACAAAAAAAACTATTAATTATAAGAGGGTGGCCATATATAGTCAAGCTTAAGATGTGTTTTTTTAAGATGTGTGCATTAAGAGCTCGGTTAGGACGTCGATTTCATTTTTCTTAGAATGTTGCACCAATAAAAATTACAGATCGTATACAAATATATTCCAAATATAACATGTCATATCTATTTAAGAACAAAGGTAATATATTTAAGATGTACCAATAATGTGTATTCATATGTTACTTAAGTATCTTGATTAGAAGGTATGTCTTCTCAAAGAGGTTAGAGCTAGGTGGAGTCTGATTTCAATAAAAATGTCGGTCATATTTGTGAAAACGTTATGCACTTAGGCTCCTAATATATAGACTATATATATAGTCTTATTTGCATATATTTTCCAGGACATAACATGATCCTATTTTGTTAATGTGTAGTAATAAATTTACACCAACATTTTCCACATAATTTCTAATGTCTCCACTGTTATGATAATTAATCTTCTCCTCATGCACTCTCCTAATATGATAAGTAAAAGAGTGGTTAGCTAGTGGCATTTAAATAATTGCTAAACCAGGCCTAATGTTTATTATTATATACTTAACATTTGTTCAAGAGTAACACTCCTTAAAAAAATCATCTGTTCAAGAGTAACATATTTGGTGAATGACCTATATATTAATTGTTATATATTCGGAAGTCGAATTTACCATTTATGCTTCCTATTTTACTAACTCTATGATTATTGGAAAATAAAGTAACTGTGTCAGTAATAATAATAATAATAATAATAATAATAATAATAATAATAATAATAATAATAATAATAATAATAATAATAATAATAATAATAATAATAATAATAATAATAATAATAATAATAATAATAATAATAATAATAATAATAATAATAATAATAATAATAATAATAATAATAATAATAATAATAATAATAATAAATCTCATATTGTTAATTATTACCATTCCATCCACCCGGGTATGCATAAGATGCCCAATGGTCATTTTGATCAGCATTTGAAGTCATACTGGAAAAACAAAATATATATACATCAGAGGGTATGATCGGTATATACTAATGTGCTTAAAGTTCGTGGTTCGATCGCGGTGAGATTTGGTTCTTCCTATGAGAAATGAAAATGATCCGAAAAAATGAACACTTTGATTTAATTTATGAGATATGCACATTTATGGTTAATATAATGTATAGTTCAAATTGGTAGAATAAGTCTAACTTATTTACAAAAATGTCATTACATTTTATGATTCATAGCAGTGCACATTTCTGTTTCATATCGTGCACAATTCTCAAATATAATACATCAAATGCATTCTCAATTCTTTCCTTAAATCACATTCTCATTTGATTCAAATACTATGTTTAGAACTGTTCTCCTCAATCATCAAGCCGTATAGTTTGCATTACCAAAACTTAAGTGATAACAACATTCACGTCTTCCTTTAAAAAACAACATTAACGTCTTTGTGAAATATTTATATGCGCTCAGGGCACTACTAGAAAGTTGGTTTATAATGACACTTGTTTAGTGACACTATTTCACAGTGTCATTATTAGATGACATATAGTCTCATAAACATATAAATTAAATGTCATTGATTGTGATACATTAACATCAATAGATAGTAGTGATATTAAATGATAATTTTCAATTATATTTTAGATTATTTTGAGGAAACTCGTATGTATAAAAACATTTCCTCCCTATTGATTTTTATTTCCCTCGAACCAATGTAATATAAAAAAAACTGATTTTCTTCCCAACTTTGAACCCAATGAGTAATGACCCTAACTTATAATCTCTACCCACAATTCTAATATTCAGATAAAATCTGGGTTCTACGGCGACTCTTCTTCATTTCATCTTACTGTTTTTTCTTCATTTTTGTTCTTATTGAAAAAATCTCAATCATACATATCCACTTTATCTATATGCTTATATATACACACAGTCGTATATATACCTTTCCCATTTGTCTTCAATGTCTCCGCTCGTTCTCCAACTATTCCCCGCAGTTTGTCCCCAAGTGGCAACATCTTCTTGTCCCCTAAAAATGGAAAACCCTACTTGAGAAATAAGATAATGCCACAACTACTATAGTTAGATTAATACATAAAAGACATTACAACAACATGCCCGTCTAGTAGAATTGAAAGACTGTGTTCTGATTGCAAAATCTAGTCACATATCATAAGAATCAAATTACCTCTTATTTTATAACTTAAAAATAAATTAAACAAATGAATTCTAATGTGAAGCATATTTAAAAAACTTTATAAACATTACCATTTTATCACAATAAAATCATAGTAATTAATGCATTATATGTGCGACTATAATAACTGCATCGTATGCTATTTTAGAGTGCGATTTTAGATTATGACCACTAATATCTTAATTGAGCCAATCCATTTTATGAAGCTTTTGGAAAGAACTTTAGTCTGAAAATGTTCAATATAAAATTGTTATTTTACATTGATTTACAATTAAATTCGCTTTAGTCTTCACCATAAAAATGCCAAAAAATAAATGATTTGCATTTGTATTAGCAATAAATGAATTTGTATGTACATAAATAAACTTACATCGTATTCTTTCTATTTTGCTTAGAGATGATTAGAAAGATGATATTTTATTACATTTTAATTTGGACTCTTGGTTTTTCAAAAGGAAGAAAACCCAAAATTAATGAGTTGACTTGCCTGTTTGCTTCTATAATTTGACACTTTATTTAGTGCTTGCAAACTTGTTATTTCTTGCTTCATTAAATTTTCTGAATAAACATGTTCTAAATTGGTCAAAGCCTTACCATTCGCACATAGAAAAAAAGATGTTCCTTCCCGAGTTAAGCAGTGCCTCCTTCATTTTATAGTACCTAAATCAAATAATAATAGATGATTACTAACGAGAATGTCACTTTATGCGTGAAATGAGAATGAATCTACTCGATTGGATTTTAAATCTAGGTGCTAAAAAAATCAAAATATGCATGAAATTTGATAAAACATACAGAGTTAGATTTTCAAATAAATCGGACTTTGATGTCACTAAAAAGAGGGAAATATTTGAAATATAAAGTCTAACACTATGAGAAAGAAAGTGACACAGATTCGTTTTTGACACAAATTCATGGAAAGGAATTTTTTTAAAACTAAATTACACACACTTGTGTAAGAAATGGTTCAAGTGAAAAAGATTCTTTCATAAAAAATGAGAAGAAAGTCACGCCCTTGATCACTCAAAGATTGAAGAGGTAGATAATCTTATTAAAGTATCTAGTGACATAATTGTAAATGGATGTGAAACTTAAATATGCAAGAAATGAAGCGCATATGTTATTCGTAAGAGGCTAGGGTATATGCCTGCACAATAATTTTTTTCACTACATAATTTCTTTAATACATGTTTTAGTTTAGATATTAATTGATGCAATTTTGTGTTATGCATGGACCTTCTATGTATAACAATGCACTTTTGTCACTCACCTATTTTTAAAATTCATTAATATACTAATGCCATCATGTTCATCACTACTTTAAAATTGATGTTTCCTCTAATTTTCTTAAATCAATAGTCAATGTATGCTCTCTTTTTACCTAAGGAGTACTTTTAGTTTTATTTGAATCAAATATATACACACAAATACATGTGTGTGCACATGCATACATATAAGGTCCGGTGAGAAGGGTTTTCCGATGAGAAATGAGAATGACCTGAAACTATGCACATTCTAGTTCACGGTGGTGCACATTTATGATTAAGCTAATGCACAGTTCAAATAGACACAAAGAGTTTAATTTATTTATAAAATATAACCATATTTTCTTATTCATATCACACATTATTATTTCATATGATACACAATGCTCAAATATAATGCACTATATTCATTCTCATTTTCTCTTTAGATCGCATTATCATTTTTCCGAAGTATATATGTATATATACTTTTATTGATCTAACAACGGGGCATCCTTAGTTGAAGGCTGGCGTAATAATAATATGTGCACATGGCCTAGTTCATCACACCAATGTCTCTCATAAGTCAACTATAACATCAATGCTTGATTCTTTCCTCAACGTCCACGTTATATATATACTTTGTTCCACTTGCCCTATGGTGTCAAGTATTTCCTACCTTCAAGCAAAGACTCACAAATTACAGTTTAGTTTTTTCTCAATAAATGTAAGTAGTATGTTTTTATTTGACTACTTTACCTAGTTTTAATGATTTTTCTTAAGAGAAAATCATATGCATTTTGAGTATTTAATAAATTCTATGTATAACTAAGATTCAATTGACACTTGCATATAAACCTTGAATGCCTATCATAGAAGTGAATTTAAATCCCTTACACCTTAGCTTCACACAATGCAGTTTTCTCATGCAGAAGTATTTCCCAGAGATAGTAACGAAAAATATCAGAATCCCTTCATCAATTCCTACATGTAGTTGCACCCCAACAAACACACTCCTCCCTCAAGCTCCCCAAGTCTTATCCTCTCCCAAAACAAGTCTCCGCAATAGTCAATCATTCTTCCTTCCCAAACCACTTGAAATACTCATCCAGCCACTCTCTCCACATCCGAATAAAAATGCAACTCTCACACAAATATAAGTACTAATGGTATCCTTTTGTGCATCCTTCCAGACACATCACCCCCATGCATGTTCATAACCATGACAATGGCACGTAGACTTACAAAAAAGCTATTGTCATCCCAAAATGTCTATATAGCATGAAGGAAGAGTTTTAATCCCTTATCAACAACAAAACTTTGTCTCTTTTCATTTCTCGTCTATCATAGAATTGAATGATGTTGGGAGAAAATAGACTTATCTAGTAAAGTACTATTGAGATGAGATCATGGCTCAGTACAAGCATTCCCTGTTGCATAAGGTTTTCATCAACATCTTGAAGTTGCTTTCAAAGATACCTTGAATCTCATTGTTCATCTAGCCTTCTTTGAGATGTTCTTGCTCTAGTTATGTAAATGGTTGGCCTTTATGTCATTTAGACATCAACAATGCTTTTTTGCACGGAAAATTGTCTCACGGAGTTGATGGAAAAAACTCTCTCAACCACTTTTTCCTATTACACAAAGCTCTGATGGGTTGTGTACATGTCAAGCTCTCTGCCCTTGCTTTTTCTCATTGACCATTTTCTTCATGCCACCCATTTCCCATCGTCATTGAGTAACCACCTTTGAACCACAAGGTCAGAGTGTTACAAACTTTCTAACCTCACTACTATATGTGTTAAATATCGCTTACCACTAGTGTCTACCATCCACTACCCTTCGCCACCGTCGTTCATTGAAGACATAAAGTGAGTAAGTTTTCAACCACCGTGAATGAGTAAACAATGAGGTGTTTATTCCTATTTAGTGACATATATATCGATTCATAAAGGATATATGTGGTAATAATTAGCTTTCCTTTAAGAATATATGTTCATATTTAGAGAAGTCTTTCATGTAGCAATTTTGCATGCATGCACACAAACACACACAAGATTAGTTCAAAGGCACAAAACCTGCATTCTACGTACTTAAGGTTGTTGACATAATCAAAATTAAAGATCACATTATTACATAAGCAATTAGATGAATACAGACACTAAATATGATAATGAAACATATGGGTATGTGGGCACACTTAAATCACTAAAGGAGGGCATCGTACCTTCCCTTAACATCTTCTTTATTGTTATTACAATTGTCATACTTAAGGTAGTCGATTCCCTGATTTGAGCAGATACACAAAAAAATAAGTTAGCATTGATGTGCTCATGTTCATTCTCGGTCTCTCTCTCTCTCCATGTGTGTGTGTGTGTGTGTGTGTGCGCGTGCGCGCGCGCATGTATGTGTGAGTGTGCGTGTGCGTGTGCGTGTGTGTGTGTTCATAAAGCTCAATGTCATCAAATAAATAGAAGATTGTAATATAACTTGTTATTTGTGAACAAAGTAACATTTTGAGTCAAAATTAAGGGATACTCAAACTTTTATTGTTTCACCAATTTCATAATGACCACCCCTGGTAAACTTCCATTTTTTTAGTCTGGAACTCTACATGTCAAGTAAAGAAAGGTATAGTGTCCGACCTCTCCCAACCCTCACATGAAGACTCTGACCATTGTTAGTGCATGGATCCATTTGATATGCATATTTCTAACTTCTTCCTCTTCCATTTAATGAGTATAATATGCAACACACTTGTCATATGGTAGATGACTCAATTCTAAACAATTCTAATGTGTTAGGGAATATGTTAAATTCATTAGGTAATTGAGTTTTAAACTTGTGTTTGTTTTGAAATAAGATTTTACATCTCATATTCTAAATAATTTAAATTCGCATCTGAATATCGGAAAAGATAATGGTAACTAAAATACTATTCTAATTACGAGCTACAAGGTTATAGAGAAATAAGGAGCAAACCACCTTAAATTTGGGGTAGAAGTTCATGCTATTCGAAAAGTAGAATGCAAAACTCAATTCAAAATTAATAATATGAGATTCAAACATAACTTCAGCTAGCTAGGATAGTTCAACCATGAATAATGGCTAAAACCCACATATTAATCCATTTACTTAGTATTTTATTGTCAATGAAAGATGGATAAAACCTACATATTAATCTATTTACTACGCATTTTTTTATTTCCGTGCACCAAAAAAGTTTCTAAATCACTAACCGCGACGCGAGTGTGCCGAGTGTGCAAGTGTCCTTCAACCTTAGGTTATTAACTTATTCATACGCTACTTCATTTAAAATTCCTTTGACTTTGAAATTCGCGGTGAAATTGACCTATTGACTTTTTAAGAAATGCGTTTGAGAGACTAGATGGAGAAAGACGTTGTTCACTAAGAATCTAAACTTGTAAGGTATATTTGGTTCAAGTTATTAAAGATCCTCGTGGTAATATAAGAATGTTAATATCACATTAATTTGTTTGGTTGAAGGTATAAGATTACCATAAAATGATAAGGTGATGATAAATGGATTATTTAAGTATTCTTAAATGACTATACATAGGATAATAATGTAGACATGATTACTGTTTAATTGTGTGAAGCACACTGGTTAAGTAGTATAAAAATATATACTTCGTATAAATTTTGACTACTTTCAAGAGATTGATTTTTATGATGAAATTCCAAGTCTTAATAGGTTGTAAGACCCTATTGTCTCTAACGAGGAACTCAATTTGAATAAGACCAAAAAAAGCATAAATTTATCAAATAAGTCTACTCCAATTATTTAACATATGATGAACATCTTAATAAATCACATTAATTAATATGACTCAAGTTTTCTTAAGATTAGTGAAAAATACACTTCTCATGACATGTAGTACATTTTTCTATGAAAAGCAAAAGCAAGTATAAATACAGCGCTAGCCCTCCTATACTTTTTCTTTCCTTTTTAGGCTAGTCCTCCTATTTTAGGATGGAACCTTGCATAACTCGTGCTGCACATTATGTTACAAAAAACAAGATTTATTATTCTAATATGTATGTGTACATACGTACCCATGAGGCAAACGTTCTGGCATCTTGTTCTTCATAACCCAATGATCCCGGCATAGTATTACTGCATGTCTGTGTGCTGCAAATGTATAAAAATAAACTTGATAATCCAATAACTTATCTCACATGTGGCTGCTAGTGGCGTAACAAGCGGTTCAAATTGGGCTAGGTCGGTACAAATAGTTTTTTATTATATATTCATGCTATATCAATACCCTTTTATGAGATATTGGCACCAGGGGCGGAGCCAGGGCACTGGACCGGACTGGACCGGTACAATGAATATTTTTAGAAAAAAATTTACACGAAATTTTTTACCTTAAAAATTAAGCAATTTTTAAAATTTGGGGTGGGCCATGGCCTAGGTTGGCCCACCCCTAGCTCCGCCCATGGATATTGCTTTAATACTAAACTAAAAATCATAGACATAGGTACGTCTAAGTGGTCATGGCAACACCATTATAGTCACTCTACTAATAAGTAATAGTCTCAATGCTCATTAATCAAATCATATTCGAATTGTATTTTAACAATATATTAGTCATTATTTATTTTTAAAATTTTATTCTCATTGCAAATATAAATTTAAGTATAAAAGTATTAAGTATAACACTCAAAATATTTTACCACGATATTTTAAAAGAAACATAATAAACATACATAGTAAATAAAGGCTTCAAAAATTAAAATTTGAGAAGTGATTCAAAAATAATTCATTTAGACATGTAAATTTTATAGTTAATGTTACATAGAAAAATGTTGACTGAATTTGAAGTAGGTCGACTCACCAAATCAGACTGGTTAGCATGAACTCATCATTATTTCACTACATTCTCTAATCCTCTCAAATTGTTAATCTTCAATCTTCAATATATCTAAACAATAATTTTTTAGTTTCTTATCCTAAAAATGTTACATACCCAGCATCAGAGTAAATCCCAAGCTTCAACCCTCTTTGGTGAACATAATCCGCTAACGTTGCGATTCCAGAAGGAAATGAAGTGCCTTTTGGGACCAAGTTTCCCTGCATTCCATTCACTGTCAATAAATACCTACTTATCATCATTATTACCAATGTACAGTGTTACTTTCGCTTTAGGAAGTATTTAATTTTCAAATTCGTCCCATTAAAGGAGGTTCAATGCACCAAACTCCCTTCTGAAATATAAATTCGGCGCATAAGCCCCATGTGATTTAAAAAATGTGTCAAACCCCCTTGTGTTATAATTAATCATGCGCCAAACCCTCTCCAAGAACAAATTTAATTTCCCAAAAAAAGAAAAATGATTAGTTTTTTTGTATAATTTAGAAATTTTGACAAAGTTACTTGCATATTCAACCATACTATTAAAAAAGTGATTTCAAAATTGTAAAATTTGTTCTTAGAGGGTTTTTTGCGCATGATTGATTATAACACGGGGGGTTTGACGCATTTTTTAAATCACAGAAGGCTAATGCGTCGATTTTATATTTCACGAGTGGGTTTGGTGCATTAAACCCCATTAAGGGAAAATGGTTTCAGATTCTCTAATTTTATTATAAAGTACGGAGTAAATGATACTGACATTTCAAAAAGGGAAATATGGAATAATCAATTTAGGACGACATAATAGTACTTAGTAATAATGAAATTAAAATTATATTTCAAAAGTAATTTGACGTCATACCTGGTCATCTCGATTTTGTTCAGCCCAACAATCATCTGATCCATGAACAAAGTTCAGCCGAAAACACACACATTAATGTTTTTATTTTGAAACTAATTTAAGGATGAATTTTACTAATTTCACAAAGACTAAATTATTGCTATTTTATGATTATATGAAAATAATAAAATACATCGTATTATGTAATCAATCATACCGATATTGATATATTGATATCCCAAGGAAGCAAGCCCAGTTGAGACCATTGCATCAGCTTCCAATATGGCAATATGTAAAAACAATAATAAAAATAGACCTGTTTTATACCGTCCTCTACAAACTCTTGGAATGATCAATGTGTCTAAAGCTTGAATTATCTATCATTGACATTAGGGCCTTTTTTTTACACACATTATGATATATATTCATGGATTGTTAAGATATACCAAGTAGGAGTATAACATAAAACAATCATTGTGACGATGAATTCAAATTTCCGTCTTATTTTAAACTTTTATACTTTTAGAATCTAAAGAATGCAAAAAGAGAGGAAGCCGGGAGGATCTATGTATAGCTATAGTGGGCGAAGCCCAGATCAACTTAATTTTTTCATTATTTAGTGTAAATTTTTTCATTTTTCATATTGAGCTCATCCATCTAATTATAAGTTTAGTATAATTGCTCTTCAATCCAATCTAATCCAAGTAATTGGATCCGCCCCTGGTGGAAGGACATGGTAGCTAGCTAGCTTACCGGTTTCTCGAATAAGGTTTTCATTTATATCGCAATGGAAATGATTCCAGGTGCTCCATCTGTCAACCACAAAAAATAATACGAAATAAAACTATAAGGTTAAAGGCTTAAAATTATAATCTCCCTACAAATTAAATTTGCAAGCTATATATACTTGATTTTTTTTGTCAAACCTGTTGAAATTATACTCATATGACTGCACAAAATTACTACGTATAAATGATTAAATGTATTTTTATTAATTTGAGTACCAAAAAATATCACATTTAGCTGTCCTTGTCTCGACAGAGGAAAAAAATTGCAATCCATATAAACCCATTTGTAGTGTTTGCTGTCCTTGTCTCGACAGAGGAAAAAATTTGCAATCCATATAAACCCATTTGTAGTGTTTGCTGTCCTTGTCTCGACAGAGGAAAAAATTTGCAATCCATATAAACCCATTTGTAGTGTTTTTTGAGAAGAGACCATTTGTAGTGTTGAGTCTAAAAAGTTAAATACGAAGTACCATATGAAAATAGTGTCAGGAGTACATATATAGGTAGAAATATTGAAAGGATCGGAGTGCAACATTGTATTTTTTGAACTATTCATCCACCTTATCCACCTTACTTTGATCACAATTTTCCACTAATATATATAATCAAATTATTATGTGAAAAATGTTAAAAAAAATTATTAATGTGAATTTACAAAATATTACTTTTTGATAATGTTTACTTTTGCATAATTAAATATAATTTCAGTCAAAGTTGTATGTTGTAAAACGTGATAGTCAAACTATTACCACTATTAAAGAACGAAGGATAGTATATAAGTGTAAGCACACACGTACCCCATCTGGGGTCTAAGAGCGAGCTCATTTGCCAGAAGGCCCCTTTCCGTTACCATCACCGCCCGTCCTAAACCCGAGGATTCGTCATCGTCTTCGTTCATTCTCCGATCGCGATGAGCAGACGTTGTTGCAGTAAACTGGCAAGTGCAAATTAGCAGTACGAAGCACACTCCCAAAACATGAATTGAACTATCAAAACTCCTCATGATCATAGGCTTCATTCCTACGTATGTACTATTTCAGTTCTAACTCCGATCTGCTGCCAAATTTCAACGCTTTAATATTATACACTCCGTAAATTGATGGATCCACGTACTTCAATTCTAGTCAGACTACGCATATCTCCTATATATATAGTATAGTATGCGTAGGTAGGGTACGTGTCCTATATGATATGCCATAGAAAGATAAGTATGAAATGGTGGGGGTGACGAGGACCATGCACCGCTAGATAATGTGGAGGGCAGCTTGGCTTAATTAGCTTTGTTAGGGGAAGTTTGATTTTTTTTAACTCCAGAGGTCGGGGGAGGGGGCCTGGGGTAATTAATCAGAGCTAAAACTCATTCCATGAAGTTTTGAAATTATATTTATATATGAGTATATATGTTAATATGTACACTAGCGTATAGTAGCTTGTTTAATTAGTTAATTAATTAATTATTACCTCCCTCTTAGCACATATAAAGGTTATTTCTATGTTGCACGGAAAGGAGAAAATCGTGATGAAACGGGAGACGGGAAACGTCAACTTTTGTTCAAAATGCTTGTTCGAAGAGTTTCCAAAAAGTTTTCATAGAGTTTCTGAAACGGAAACGTACTCTTTCCTGAGAATTTTTGTGCTACATAGGTTCTCATTCATATTTATCGGTCAACATAATGTATTCTTAATCATTTACTTTAATTTATATATTCGATTTTTATCAAATTTGAGTTTTTTCTTTGTGACTTTGTAAAACCTTTAATGCAGTTTCTGAATATGTAAAATTTATTTGCTGAAAATAATCATATTATTGACAGGGATTGGTTAATTTTCTGATCACTCAAACATAGTAGTGGAAAACTTTTAATTGGGAAGGAGACAAATAATACTTGTCTTCTTTAATTTAATTTATTTTTATTAGCTAGCTAGCCGGCCAGCTGCCATTTCTGAGCTGGAAAACGTATACTTGAAGACAACACCTTTCCTATTTTTAGCTTTCCTTCGTTTACCTTACTACTACTACTGCTTGTTATGATGTAGGTGTGTATATATAATATATATATATATGCATCATCAAGGTATATCTATATATGACCTATCTGCCCTCCATCCATCCATCAATTACTTTACTTAATTAATTGCACATCAGCTTATGTTAGATTTGGTACTTAAACATCACTATCATTTATGTATGTATCCTATTTGACTAAAACTTAATTGTGATTTGACTAATTAATCACACGTCTATACGGAGACTCACTTTTCAGCAAAAGTAATATGATTTCCATCAGTGATTACCTACAATACACGCTATAAATCAAGCACGCACTTTATAAGTTTTATTGGATGCGGTCCAAGTATTTCCCAAATTAGTGTAGGTGTAAAATATAATTAACTAATACGGAGTATGAACTAATTGCTACTCCGTACAATATAAACTTAATTAACTCATCCTGTCATGTTAATATATTTTACAATATAATTCCTAGTTTTAAAATAGTTTTAAAATAGTTTCAGAGCCAAGTCGACCCATAACTATACATATGATGATTATGACGAATCGATGAAGTAAAACCGATGAATGGTGACACGATCTAGACGGGCACGACCATGCCTTCTTTAGGCGGGTGAGTCTTAGGCCCCTGGGCCCCAAAAATATTAATTAAAATGTTATGGGACCAAATAATTAAATACCTTTGACCAAGTAGTTAAGTACTATACAAAGCCCGCACTCCCGAAGGATTAGAGGGAGTGCCGATTACTGAAGAGCCGAGCGTCAGAGTGTGCCGACTCGGCGACTCTCTGCACATTCCCTTTTTTGGTTGCAACATTCCCTTTTTCACGTTTATCAATGCACAATTTTGACTGTCATTATATTTAATTTTCAGTAAAAAACTTTTAAAAATCAGATTATGAAACTTTGTAATGAGACGAATTCAACAATATTTTTCAAAAATAATAATTCACATATATTAATAAATAAAATGTAGTCAAAGTAGAGTATATGAATAGTGTTAAAATTCCAATGTTGTAACTATTATGATCGATACGAAGGATAATACGAAGTATAAGATATGGTATAAGAGTTCATGTTATGCTAAGGCAATATTTCCAGCAATAACCATTCGAATATATTTCTATTAATTAGTGCTCTGTATGATATAGGAGAGTGCACTATTACTTCACCCATTTATTTTAACTTCAATGAAAATACATTAACCTCTACTATATTCTAAAACTTGCAACACAATACTTTGCAACTGATCCAGATACCCTGCATTTGGGGATCTATGCCGTCACTGCAGTCCACATCTCTACCAGTTCGTTTCTTTTTATGATGTGTGAAGTATTGGATATAATGTACACAAATGTCTGAGTCATGGGTGGATTTAAGAATTTATAGTATTAACTTAGTGATGGACCCGGTTCGGGTCACCCGGCCCGGCCCGGTACTGTGCGGGCCGGGCCCGGCCCGGGAACCGGGTACCGTTTCTGGATCATTGGCCCGGTTTAGGGAGGATAGCGAGGCGGGTACGGGTCTGGGGAAAATGGAACCGGCCCGGCCGGTTCCGGGCCCGGTTCGGGCTTTATTTTTTTTAAATTTTTTTTTTTAACTTTCCGGGTTGGGCTGGGTATTTTGGGCCATTTGGGCTGGTTTGGGGGGTGGGGTGAGGGGGGTCGGGGGTTAATTAGAAAAGGCAAAAAAAAAAAAAAAAAAACTGGCTCGAGGCCCGGCCCGGCCCGACTCGGACCCGCTGGCAACCCGGGCCGGTCCCGGGCCTTCCCCCAATCACAAAAGGCCCGACCGGGCCCAACCCGGCCCGGCTCCATGCCTAATTAACTTAGTTGAAGAGTGATTGGACTTGGCTCAATGGCTAGGAGTGAAGGTTGGCAAGGGTCGATATAAACAATTTTTTTTAGATAAATTTATACAAATAAATTTTTACACTATAAATTCAGACAATTTTCAAATTTGGGGTGGACCGAAGCGCGGGCAGTTGACCCTTTAATATCGCCATGTGCTTCCACACCATGTAGTAATAATGTAATATAGCTATAAAAATAACTGGTGGGCAGATAAAATGTAAGTGTAATGAGAAGAAAAATGAGTAATATAGAATCCATTGAAACTCTAGCTACCCATCCACGGACCATGCCTAATATTTATTTTATAAATTTGGGGCACCGAGAAGGCCAAAAGATAAGCGATCTGAATGTTCCTGATCTGATCTGATCTGAATTTTTCTGATCTGGTCTGAATAAAATAAGAATAAGCAATAAGTAATAAGATTAAGACGAACAGAACAGCTTCTTAGTATGAAGAAATCATCTATAAGCCCACCTTTTCCGATTAGAAGCAATCAAGCAACATTCAACTCCACAGGGAAAAAATGGAGTGGGTGAATTTACCTACGTGGGAGTGAACGTTTGTCTATAGTCTACAAATCTACAAGATGACCTGGAAGGGAAGAGGTTGAGTAGGAGATGATAAAAACCATATAAACTTTAACACGATAGGTAAGACAAGAGCAAAGCAACATGATATGCACTCAATTTGTTTACGATAATCAATTTGGTCACATCCTTTGTTGATGTAAGATTTTCCCTTTGTTATCATTTCACGCGGCATGATAGAGATAATTCATTTCATTCTCTACAAAAAAAAATAAACCAGCGGACAGAGGAGGGAAAGGATATCTTGAATGCTGCAAAGGCACGTTTTTTCAATGAGCCTCAAGAGGCGTTCTGCATCCTACTCAGCTTCCATCTGCTCCTTGAGATAAAGCAAGTCATCACTGTCCAGAGCTGCACATTCAAACTTGGACACACTTGCATCAGAACATCAAGTGCCTACCCAGTAGGAAAAGCCAATATCCCTGTCGGGGCATGTTATCAGAATGCTTCTCCACATAAAGTTTACACCAATGTTCTAAGCAAGACCAGAAAATCCAGCAGTCAGACAAGCTGACCACTTGCCCCATCACCCTGAAGGCCAAAAGTGAATGAGGTCTCTTTAACTTGATGAACCGTTTCATTTGTTAGTGCATTTGCACCCGGAAAGTTTTGCAGACCCCGATATGGTCTAGAACCTGAGATCGGGTTCTGAGACCTGCAGCAGTCTAGGTATATGACAAGATGGGAATATAAGGGAAAACTTAATTTCCTCTTGGAAGTTTTCAGTTTATTCATTTTAGAGAATAGAAGTAAAGTGTAGTGATCTTTGTTGTTTAAGTGAATATATGATAAAATGACCAAGGAATCGGGATTTACCCAGACGTTAACTACAATTCCAAATAAGTTTTTTGTCAATTCTTATTTGTACGATATCGATATTATATTCCCGACTCCGGTTAAGGAAGTGAGAGCACGGTTTTCTCTACGTGTAAGTTCCGTTACGGCTCAAATTCATATAGAAAAAACCCCGTTAAATATTAAGATACCACACACGCACCATAAAAGATCAGGTGTATTTCTATCCTCAATACTATGTATGTTTATTCTTCTAGAGATGATCTATATTGCAACGCTAATTGACCATATAAATCTCTAGATATTATGCAACGTAGTTTGTATAAATTTAGTTCTAGGAAAGGTAAAACGCGAATTACTCTTTTAGTGTCCAATTGATATTTCAATGTCAATTATTTCATATCAATTACATAGCTTATACTCCTATGTTGCATAACATGAATGTCTAGTTAAGATTAAGAAGAATAAATCATATATTGACTTAGAACAAATATCAAGAACTAGCGGCCATAGAGGTTCATCCCGAGCCTTGAGCTAAGGACTTATCCTCTAACACTCATATTGATCAAGATTACAATACTAGAACATAATAGAACATGAAAATATAAAGGAAATATTACCTTAACATCAATGGTTGGAAGAAATGAGCTTCCACACCTCAAGAACACCCTGAAGAACAAAGAAAAACTATATAAACTAGTTGGCGGTGGAAATATGTTCGGTTCTTTTGAAACCTTTACAAGCCTTTTGCTTATGGAAAATATTTCACTTACAATGATTCCCAAAAAAATATAAAAATGTATTTAAAAAATGCATTTGAATTTGGGAACCATGTTTACCTCTCCATGACATTATTTCAATGGTAAAATTGTGTTTTTAACTTCTTATATTAGAATTGTGTACACCAGCAAAAACTACACAATTTTATTTTCCCATATATGTATAGCGTATACTACTTTAATACAAAAAAGTTGTATTTCAAACAATCTTCTGTCTAACAAAAGGAAGTGAAATGAATATGCTAAAGAAACTCACCACTTATTTCAAACATACTACTCAGCACGTATTTCAAACAATCTTCTGTGAACTGTTCTTCCATCATCCTCTTATTGCCTGCAAGGAAAGAATGCAGTTTTCCTTTGATAAAACCTAGCTCTTTATTCACTCCCCGTTTCAGCATTGTGCTTCGTATGTTACCGACTTCCTCCCACATGCCTTGGGAAGCATATATGTTTGATAGCAACACATATGCTCCGGATTTTTTCGTACCCATCCGAAATAGCCTCTCTGCAATTTTCTGGCCAAGATTTGTGTTCTTGTTATTTCTACAAGCAGCAAGGAGAGAATCCAAGATCACAGTGTCTGGCTTCATAGGCATACTATCTACAAGTGATTCTGCTTCAGAGAGTCGTATAATGCTTTTTTTGCTTCTTTCGCTGCCATCCTCTTTCGTCTTTCCTGCTACTCTGCTAGTTCGTTTCACCTTTTATGTTTTATGTTTTGTTTTTTTTATTTTGTTTTTTTCGTTACTTTTACTGTTAGTTGGTTCACTTTCTTTTCTTTTTTCTTTTCTTCTTTTCGTTTCTTTTATTTGTTGTTTCCTTCCTTCTTTTTCTCTATATATATTAACATAGAGCACATTAGAAATGAACTTTATTTAAACTCAAATAAATAAAACGTCTAAAAAGAATGAACATACACAAATGATCTTTTGATTTTTTTGAAAACTCATTTTGTAAGTTAATTATGTTAATGCATATTTCAAAAATTCATATTACATTATATTCACATAGAAGCTGATTATAGACACGAGACCACAAATCAAGATACTCAATCGCACGATCCTAATACTCAATAACAAAGGTTTGATGCTCACTGAACAAAACTTACAATTTTCACATCCATGCTCATCTTGTAAGTCACATATGCTCATTTGTACAGGTCTGATGCTCATTAAAAATTCATTAATGCTCATTTAACTGAAATCGTGATTTCCATCGATCTCAATAGAGAAAGTTTGATGCTCAATGAAAATGTCGTGATGTTCAACCAATAAAGCTTATGATTTTCATACCAATGCGCATTTGTACGTACGTGTGCTCATCTGGTACTCATCTTATGCTCATTTTCTAAACTTCATATCAATGCAATTTTTAAAAGTACTATTTTACATTAGATTCACATATTAAAATTCATAGGAGTTGATTATAAATATACTTTAATAAGTTTTTATAAAAGAAAAAATAACAAAAAGAAAGTGAATTAGAAGTTATGAAGCACATATCACGATTCTGAATATTAGACTCCTAATATTCAACATAATAGGTTTGATGCTCATTAAAAATTCATTAATGCTCATTCACCAGAAACTGTGATTTTCATCTCAATAGCGGAGGTTTGATGCTCAATTAAAATGTCGTGATGTTCTACTAACAAACCTTACGATTTTCATATCAATGAGCACTTCGTAAGTTATGCATGCTCATTAGCCGTGATTTTTTGCTTACATTACAAAACTGTCACCAATTTTTTTTAGCATGTACGGAGTATTAGTTATTGGGCCGCCTTCCTTAGTTGGACCGGGTGTACATACACCAGGATGTATGATATAGGCACAAAGTCGCGTGACTGCGTGAGCCGTGAGGCACTTCGGTCGTGAAGTCCTAGTCTTTGAGGCGGGGCACGGTGGCACGCAGGAGGCAAAAGAGGCATCATGGAGTCAGTCGCCTTTGTCGCTTCGCTTGTTGCTTGAAGTTCTCGCTTCAACGATTCTCTTCCATTCTTTCTCTGTTCTATTTTTTGGGCCATCGAAAATTATAAGCCCTGCGCGAGTGGGCTGGGTGGCCCTGGCCTGGGCCGTCCCTGACAATAATCCGGGTTAGTGCATGAAGAGGATATATATATGTTATTGTTAGGATGCGTAGTAGTATTTTGTTAATGTTTTTATTTAATGATTTTAGTATATCACTAACAACTTAACAAGGCCAATTTGTATATGAAAAGTGGACAAGAATAACTACAACTATTAGTGACATGTTCTTTTTTTCATCATTATTAGTGACATATCCTAAATATCCAAATTATCAATTCTCTCAAAATAATTCTAACTATTGAATAAAATTCTCAAAATGTTCCAGTCAGTATATTAACCCTTAAATGATATACGTAATTTATCGGTGATTATAAGTCACTAGAGGTTTTTGAGAATTGTATTTAATAGTTGGAATTATTCTGGGATAATCGATACTTTAAACTATTTAAAGCAGATCACTGATAGTTGGGATTATTCTTGTCTATTGTCTCTTTGTATATATATTTCATTTTGAATACGTAGTATGATTTGTTGCACTGAATTCCCGTAATGAATGTTATAATGTTATACGTAGTATTACTTCTTATGAAATAATTGCATAAATATGACCAAAATAAAGATGGTTTACAAAAATATGATTAGTTACTAGAGTAGAAATGAAATCATAGTAATTCATGTTCAAGTTTTGAACTTTAGCTACCACAACACTACATTGTAGTAATGAATAGTCATATTTATGTAAATAAGCTCTATTTTAGTAATATTCTTGTAAAAAAAAACCATTACTTATAGCATATTTAAATTTTGATAATTTGAAATTTTAGAAAAAGATATACTCATATCTTTGTCATACCGCAATTTCTATACACCAAGATGCGATATAATGATGTTTTGGTAAAATAACAATATGTAACTTTGTAAATCAAAAGTTTTGAATATTTGATACGAAGTAATACAGTAATACACTAATACACCCCTTGGCTATATAATGAAATTTTTGTATATCAAAAAATTCCCTCCGTCTCTAAATAAACTTTCAACTTTCTTTTTTCGACATTCCAAAACAAACTTTCACTTTTCTTTTTTGGCAAAGAATTTTTTATTCGCAACATTTTTTACACATCTCTTATCTGCACAAATCTCCACCACACAATATTCGCTTCTCGTGCCATTTGTATTATGGAAGTTTTATTAGGGACGGAGAGAGTATATGACTACTGTTTTCTTTATCAGTATAATAAAAAGATGTTAAAGAGAAGGTTTTTATATTTCTAAATCCGAACGGATTGAAGTATTGAACTATGGACTTCTCCCAATCACAAGCTAACAACTTAAATTGTCAATATACATTATCATTTAATTGCCAAATTACAGAGTCTCTCAGTGTTGAAGTCGTCAGCGCATTATCTTCCCTTCAATGTAAATACCCAAATTTAGGGCGGACTAAGGGAAACCTGATTACATAAGACTGAATTACTAAGCCAACTATGTTAAACACAAGTAAGCCAAAGTGCTTAAATATAAATTTAATGTGTAATGCTTCTACATCGATTAAACATGACTCATCATACACCAAAGACTAATCAGTCTTCTTCATCTGAACTCTCATATGCAGCTAACAAGGTGGTAACTGGGTTTTCCGCCTTCACTTTGTTAGTTGCTTCGTCATTATTCAGTCTAGCTGATGGCTTTTTGTTGGATTCTGTATCAAGCCTGCTCGGAGAAGCATATGTTGTTGAAGAGACTCGATGCCGTTTAGGTTTGACTTCAATCACCCTTTTCAGTAAATCTTGTTGCCTATATAGTTCAGCAAATTTTGCTTTACATTAATGCACGTCAATATCATAGGACTACACCTTGAGGAAAACTCATAATAAAATCTCGAACTACAAGAGTGTGCAAATGAAAAGAGACGCCAATACCTGATTCCACTTTTTGCCTTTGGCTCAACCCGAAGTGGAAGGGGTAAAGTAGCTGGTGAAGAATCCGCTACAGCTTTGTGTATGGTAATCAAGGATATCATCAAATATGCAAGTTGCAAAATACAACCTTCCACCCCCCCACCCCCCCAAAAAAAATGATTCCACTGAGTCTTTGTTTTTTGTATGTTGAGAAATGACAAGGTTGCTCGCAGGCACAATTGATGAACGTTATTTTAGTTACATCCATCCACGTTTGAGACTACATAGATTATAGATCTCACTATGATGGCATAAAACTAGATGAAATTAAATTAGCCGCCATGACTCCATTTACTTTACAAACTTTACAATCAAATTTCCCCCCACCCTATTCTATTTATAGATAGATATGCCATCTCAAATCTCAGTTGCATGTGACGTAAGAGTTCGCATTTTTCTATGGCATCCTAAGACGAAATCATCTATAAGACCACCTTATCTGATTAAAAGAAACAAGCAACTCCACAGGAAAAAACTTGGAGTGGCTGAATTTTCATACGTGGAGGTGAAGATTCGGAGTATGATTTTGGAAAGAACGAAGTGAAGGCAGCATATTCGGGTGAAAGGTTGATCTCTTTTCATCTTTTCTATCTTTTTTATGTTTCTTATGTTATTTATCTTTTTGTCTTTTTTATCATTATCTTTATTTTATCTTTTATCTTATCTTTATCTTATCGTTTTTTATCTTTTTTATCTATATGTTTCTTTTTATCTCATCTTTTATTTTTTTTCTTTGTTATATTTAGCTCCAAACTTTTTGGGGACTAAGACTTGAATGTTCTTATTGTTGTTGTTGTGGGAGTGAAGATTTGTCTATAGTCTACTAATCTACAAGATGACCCGGAAGGGGAGAGGTTGAGTAGGAGATGATAGAACCAGATGAACTCTAACACAATAGGTAAGACAAGACCAAAACAACAGATATGCACTGTTGATGTAAGATTTTCCCTTCATTTTACGCGGCATGATAGAGATATTCATTTCATTCTCTACAAAAATATTAAACCAGTGGACAGAGGGGAAAAAAGGATATCTTGAATGCCGCAAAAGCACGTTTTTCAGTGCGCCTCAAGAGGCGTTCTGCATCCTCCTCGGCTTCCATCTGCTCCTTGAGATAAAGCAAGTCATCACTGTCCAGGGCTGCACATTCAAACTTGGACACACTCAAAAAAGCTAATGAACATTATAGATAAACTATTGATGCTTTGCCCGTGTGTCTTCTAGAAAAGGTGGTGTAATTGGATTTGGATAATGTGGAAATAAAATACAAGGAGTGAGGAGTGAGAAACAATACCGCCCCGTCCATGAAGATAGCCTCCACGTTCTCCAGCTACATCTTGCATCTGAACATCAAGTGCCAACCCAGTAGGAAAAGCCAATATCCCTGCCGGGGCATGTTATCAGAACGGTTCTCCACATAAAGTTTACATCAATGTTCTAAGACCAGACAAACTGGACATTCAGGTCAATTGACCACTTGACCCGCCACCCGGAAGGCCTGAAGTGAAAGAGGTCTCTTTGACTTGATGAACCGTTTCATTTGTTGGTCGTCCGTTTGGACCCAACAAGTTTTGCAGACCCGGATATGGTCCAGAACCTGGGACGGGTTTATGAGACTTGCAGCAGTCTAGACATGTGATAAAATGGGAATCCAAGGGAAAACGTCTTTTTCTCTGTTAGGAACCTGGTATAATCTGAGCACAAACAGTAA